GCTCGTCCTCGTTGAAATGCGTCTCCGACAGGAGACAGAAGGCCACCTTGCTGTCGTAGAGCAATTTTTCCAATGCGAGACGCTTTGGCGGAGTTAATCCGCCTGCATTTCATTGGGCTCCGCGAAGTAACGGGCCAGGGTTCTGCTCGACATCCCCGCTAATGAGCAAGAGGAGTCGGCAAATACTACAGAGAGCACGTTTGCACGTGCAGGAGAGCGTTCTTCCACTCTCATTCACCCCAGAGTGCCGGTGATGCTGCTTGCTCTCTCTCTGGTTGCCGATAGCCTGCCGCCCGCCCCAGTCGACAGCGACTGAGTATAATGCGGGCTCTTGGCTTCCCCCTGGACGGGGCACTGGACCCTGGCACCACGGTGAGGTGGCCGGCATCGCCAGGGTTGTTGTTACCCATGTTCACAGCCACAAGAGGAAAGACAATCGTGGCGACGCGCATCTGCACGCCCCTGCCGTTGCGGCCTTAGAATTGACCCCATGACCTCGTGGTTAGCTGGGAATTAACTATTTCCTCCAGCGACTTCCCGGCGCCCCACGTGATGCGTTTGCCTCCCCTTTTGCCCTCCCCGACCTCGCCAAACACCAGCTGCAGGACGAAGGTTGCCCGGTTTTTACTCGTCCCACGGAGGCGCTCCAAGAGCATAAAAATCCTATCCGCCTTAACTACGGCCTTGGGGCCGCCCAACTGAAACCTTCGGCCTGCCTCGCCACCTCGCTGCACTGCAATGCCTGTCCACCAGTCAGTGGCATCCCGCACGGTCATGGTTCGTTGCGCCCATCCACCACCTACGGCACTCACGTGCTTTTCCCACACGCCAGAATTGGGCCCACTGGCCGTGCCGTAATTCGCTTTGGCGAGAGCCACCATAAAACCACTCACCGCAAAAAGGGAGTGCCCGTTAAACGTTGTGACTTCACTCCCTCCGGACGCCTCTGTGTCCCCACCCCCACCGGACGCCTCTGTTTTGCCTTGATTGAAGAGACCCATCGGCCGCGCCTCACTCACATTCGCCGCCGCCGCCTCGCAGCTCAACACGAGAAGAAGCAGCGGCAGCGCCGCGGAGGAAAACAGGCGCCGGGGCATGCTGGGCCGCTCTCTCTCTCTCTCTCTCTC